AGGAGGGCCAGCGGAGACAACTGCGGCTCACCTGCCTGGCCCAAGTCCGTGCAAGACTGGTCCCAGGAGCCGTCCCGGGGCCCGTCCCGACTTGCTTTCCCAGGTGCGGATCCTGCCTTGGCGACGGGAGAGCCGCCAGGAGAGGCCCGGGGGCCACACGCGCTGGGGGAGGGGGGGCCGTCGTTGGCTCGACGGGCCCTCCTCCGAGGGCCGCGCCCTCTATCTGGGTCTAAGCGGGCACTCGAATTCGACCCGTGGGCGGGGTGCTCTGCTCCGTGCCCTGCGGAAGGCATGAGCAGTAGCAGCCCGGAGGGCAGGGGATTGGTAGCCACATGTGGGCTAGCAGTGCCTGGTGCACCAGCAGCGACCACCGGGGACGGGGAACATCGCACAAACACATCAGGAGCCCATACCCCCCCCCCCAACCCGAGATTCGGGTCTTCGGGTCGGGTGGGGGTGGCCTGGTAGGCAGTCAACCCTAGCATCCCTCGCGAAAGCCTCCGGCAACGGATGAGTAGATTCTACCCACGCAGCCGCCGAAGAGCGAGGCCAAGGCCAGGTTGCAGACGTGCATGGGGGTATGTCGGGCGGACGGCCCCGGGGGGGGCAGCCAACGCGAGGGGATCGAGGATGGCAGGAGAGTGGCCCTCAAGAGGCCCCATCGCGGCCCCTGGGCTGCCACCGCGGGCCCGAGAGGCGCACGGAGGTGGAGGAGCAGTAGGAGGAGGAGGATGACGAGGAGGAGGAGGAGGAGGAGGAGGAGGAGGAGGAGGAGCAGGATGAGGAGGAGCAGGATGAGGAGGAGGAGGAGGAGGAGGAGGAGGAAGGAGCAAGGGAGGAGGAGCCTAGGCGGGAGGGGGGAGGCGTATCAGGAGAAGCAGGGCTGATAGGAAAGGAGGAGCAGGAGGAGGGTGGGGGGAGCCGGAGGAGGAGCAGCAGGAGGAGGAGGAGGAGGAGGATAGGTGCAGGAGAGGTAGGAGGAAGCATGGAGCAGGAGGGGAATGCGGATGAGGGAGGAGGCGGAGGAGCAGAGAAGGAGAGGAGGAGAGCAGAGGAGGACGAGAGGAGGGAGGGTGGAGGAGGGAGGAGGAGGAGGGATGAAGGAGCAAGGAGGAGGAGGAGGAGGAGGCGGAGGCGCCGTTTCTCCGCCCCACGCTCGCTGCCCCTCCCCCCCCCTGCGAACGAAGCCTCGATGCGAGGCGGGCCCACGGCCCCGCCGCGCGTGCCCCCGCCTCGCTCGCCCGGGCCCTTCTCCCCTCCTCCTCTCCTCCTCCTCCTCCTCTCTCCTCCTCCTCCTCCTCCCCCTCCTCCTCCTCCTCTCCTCCTCCTCCTCCGCCTCCGCCTCCCCTCCTTCTCCTCCCCCCTCCTCCTCATCCTCCCCGGCGGCGCGGCGCGCCCCCCCCCCCCTCCTCGGGGGCGGCCAAAAGAGGGGGTGATGACTAGGGGGGGGGGATATCGTGGCTGGGGCCATGAGATTTCCCGGATCTCATGGCGCCTCTTCTTATTTCATGACGTCCCTGGCCCCCCCGCTGAGCCGCGCACATGCCGCCAGCCATGATTTGCATCCCCCCCCCTCTTGGACACCCCCCTCTTGGCCGCTCCCGACCCTCCGCGCCTGCGGGCGCTGGACTTGGGTCGGGCACGTCCTTCTGCAGGAGGTTCTTCAAAATTGGCTAAACAATAGTATGGGGCAACTTGTTGTAGTAGTATTATTAGTCTTGGTGTTACCCTTTTTACTTTATTACAACTAGTATTACCCCAGTGCGACCCTACCTAGAAGTTGGAGCCCCTAGGAAAGCAGCATTAGTTGCTATGCTCTGCTCTGCTATGCTATGCTATGCTGCGCTGTGCTATGCTATGCTGTGCTGTGCTGCGTTATACAGTGCTATGCTGTGCTATCTGCGCTATGCTATGTTATGCCATGATATGCTGTGATGCGCTATGCTGTGCTACGCTATGCTATGCTGTGCTGTGCTCTGCTATGCTACAGCTCAGCGAAGCTAAGATGATGATCAGCTAAACTACGATAAACCTGAGCTAATATGAAGCTAAGCTAAGCTAAGATGAAATAAGATAAGCTAAGCTGAGATAAGCAACGCTAAGCTAAGGAGACGTAACTGGGGGAACCGCGGGGCGGAAGCCGGGGGAACCGCCCGGGGCGATTTGCACTGCCCGGCCCCTTTAAGCCAAGACAGTAAGAACCCTTCTAGGCAGAGCCTGGGTAGGGAAATTCGTAGTAGTAGTAGTAGTAGTAGTAGTAGTAGTAGTAGTAGTAGTAGCAGTAGTAGTAGTAGTAGTAGTAGTAGTAGTAGTAGTAGTAGTCGTAGTAGTAGTAGTAGTAGTAGTAGTAGTAGTAGTAGTAGTAGTGGTAGTAGCAGTAGTAGTAGTAGTAGTAGTAGTAGTCATAGTCGTAGTCGTAGTCGTAGTCGTAGTCGTAGTCGTAGTCGTCGTCGTTGTCGTCGTAGTCGTAGTCGTAGTCGTAGTCGTAGTCGTAGTCGTAGTCGTCGTCGTCGTTGTCGTAGTCGTAGTCATAGTCGTAGTCGTAGTCGTAGTCGTAGTCGTAGTCGTAGTCGTAGTCGTCGTAGTCGTCGTAGTCGTAGTCGTAGTCGTAGTAGTAGTAGTAGTAGTAGTAGTAGTAGTAGTCGTTGTAGTAGTAGTAGTAGTAGTAGTAGTAGTAGTAGTAGTAGTAGTAATAGCGGTAGTAGTAGTAGTAGTAGTAGTCGTCGCATTTTTTACATATAGTTATCACTATTATTATGCTTATTTATATTACTATACTTTTTTTATTTATATTACTACTATTATGTATTTCTTTTATTTATGTTTATCATTATTATTACTACTAGCACTACTAGAATTATTATTAATATATTTACGATTACTAGTATTCTTATTGTTATTCTATGATTTTTTTATATTTTATTAGTATGATTATTTATTATTATAATTATTATTAGTATTATTATTGGTACTATTATTACGATTATTATTATTACTATTATTGTCATTTCCCACCCCGCGTATTTTTCATTCTTCGTCCCAAATCCGCCTGTAGGGGGCCACGCCCGGCCTAACGCTGGACCCGAGAAGCAAAAAGCGGCGCAGCAGCATGAACCTTCGGAGGCCTGGCGCGGACGTCTTTGGTCGGCCGCCGGGGCCGCCCCGCTCCCCCTGGCGCGCAGGGCGCGCCAGCGGGCGGCGCCGGAGGCACCGCCAACGGGGGCTCCGGCGCCGCTCCGAGGAGCCCGCGCGGAGCTCCGGGTGTTGATGTCCGTGCCGCTTTCTGTGCTCCTCCATGGTTGCGTCGGGCCTGTCCCTCTCCAGGAGGCATCTTCCCAAATGGGACGATCTGTGGAGTATTTCTGGAATGTGTTTTTCGGTCTGTTTGGAACATGTCTCATTTTTCGTCCAAGGTCCGCCTGCTCCCAGAGATCCGACGTCGTGATTTTTTGAATGCGGGGCCCCCGGAAGTCTCGACCAATTCCCCAGCACCGGTTTCTCATCCCGAGTCGTTTTCTGACGGTCCCAGGGCCCAGCGAGGGCCCCTCGAGGCCGAAAAGTACGAAACACCTCCGTCCTGATTCTGTCAAGACGTCGGATCTCCAGGTAGGGGGACGTGCCCGACCGACCTCCACGGGCAGCTGGGCGTCCGCAGCCAGGTGTCCGCCGGCCGCGCGATCGCCCGACGGCGCTCGCCGCAGGCCGCGGGGGCGTGCGCGCCGATCGCGCGGCCGCGGTCGTGGCCGCGGGCCCGTCGTGGCCTCGGTCGCGGCCGCGGCTGCGGCAGGGGTCGCGGCGTGGCCGATCGCGTTCCTGGCCGATCGCGGTCGTGGCCGAACGCGATCGTTGCCTCGTTGCCCGCGGTCGTCGCCGCGGGCCCGTCTCTGCGTCGTCGCGGCCGCGGCCCGCGGCCACGGTCGCGGGCGGCCGTGGGCCCGTCGTGGCCTCGGCCGCGCGCGTCGCCGATCGCGGGTCGTCGGGGGCGGGCCCAGGGATCCAACGCATTGAACAACATCAGGACGTAGATTTGTCGTACCACTCGGCCTCGAGGGGCCCTTGCCAGGACCCGGGACCGTCAGAAAACGGTTCAGGATGAAAAACCGGTCTTGGGGAATGGGTCGAGACTTCCAGGGGCCCCGCATGGAAAAAATCACGACATCGGATCTCTGGGGGGGGCGGGGCCCGCGGGCGTTCCTGGTGAAGGGGAACGAACAAGGTCCGCGCGGACTCCTCGGATTGGCGCTGGACCCCCCTCCCTGGCGCGCGGGGCGCGCCAGGGGCGGCGCCGGAGTCGCCGCCGCAGGGCCCCAGCGCCGATCCGATGAATCCGCGCGGACCTCCGAGTTGTTAATTATGTTTATGTCATTGTTCGTTCCCCTATGGTGGGCCTGGGGCCGCGTCGTCTGGCGTCACGCACACGGCCGGGTGGCGCGACGGGGGGGGGGGGAGCGGCCGTCTTGAGCAGGCGGGGGGGCCTTCTAGGGTTAAGTCGGGCCTGTCCGGCTTCTAGGGTTAGGTCAGGCCTGTCCTTCTACAGGAGGAATAAATTTCAAAAAATGTTTAAAAAAAAAAAATAATATGGGGACGAGTTGTTTGACCATGTTTCATTACTTTCGATATTTTTGGACTATTTTTCATCTGTCCTCCAAAACTCGCATGTATGAGGACATACCTGTCCCAAGTCTCAAATTGAAAAGGCGGGGGGGGAGGGCTTCTAGGGCGGGCGGGCGGCCTTGCAGAGGCCTTCCCGGAGTCTCGGGAGGCTTCCTGGGAGGCCCCCGGGCCTTTCCAAGAAGCCCCTTGCCTTCTGAGGAGCTCCCCGCCTCGCTCGCGGGCCGCCCCCTCTTGCGCCGCCTCCCGCCGCGTCGTGCGCTTGCGACTCCTCCTCCTCTTCCTCCTCCTTCTCCTCCTCCTCCTGCGTATCCACCTCCTCCTCCTCCACCTCCTCCTCCTCCTCCCTCCTCCTCCTCCTCCTCCTCCTCCTCCTCCTCCTCCTCCTCCTCCTCCTCCTCCTCCTCCGCCTCCTCCTCCGCCTGCGACCACTTGCGAGCCCTGCCCCGCCGCTGGGGTGTGCCCGCCTGCAGACGTCCTTCGAGCTCTGAGCCCCCGCATGCGCGGTAGAAGTCTGACCTGTAGGGGTAGGGGTCGCGTGAGGTTGCCCAGTGGCGGGGGCGGGGCATCGTCCTTCAGGCCAGGGCCGCCGAAAGGGGTGATCGGCACCTGCGGGGAAGGCATCGAGCCCGCGACTCCCACGCATCGCCCATCGGGGCTCGGGTGCCCCATCCTGCCCAGGAGCACGCCGCTTCACTCATCATGGACGGCCGCGAACCGGTCGGTTCGGTTGCGTCGGTGTCGGTTAGAATCGATCGGTTCGGTCGGTTCGGTTGTTGCGGAGTCCCTGCGTCGTCGCGCCCTCTTCGGTTACTTCGGTTGATTCGGTTTCGCCGCGGGCGCCTCGCTGGCGCCTCGTGCCGGCCCAGGGGATCGAATCGGCCGCCGGTTTCCAGTTCGGTTTCGCTGCCCACGGATTCGCGCCGATCTGATTTCGCTTGGCCTTTCCCTTTGAAGAAAAAGGGAGGAGGAAGAGGAGGAGGAGGTGGAGGAGCAGGAGGAGGAGAGGAGCAGGAGGAGGAGGAGCAGGAGCAGGAGCAAGGAGGTTGGTTGGCTGATTGGCCGGATGCGCGCAGTGGCGCATCGTTGGCCGGATAAATCTTGCCCCGTGGCCAGGCTTCGAAAACGCTTCTTCCACGGGAATTCCGGAGGCTCCCCAGAGGCGCCGAAGGCCCCGCGGGAGAGAAAACATTTTTTCTGGCCTCGAAAAATGGTTTTTCGGCTCGTGGGGGTTCCGGAGGCTCCATGGAGGCGCCGAAGGCTCCGGGGAGAGAAAAACAATGTTTCAGCCCCCGAAAAATGTTTTTCGGCTTCCGGGGCCTCTGGAGGCTCCCTGGAGGCGCCGAAGGCCCCGGGGGAGAGGAAAACAATGTTTTGGGTCTCGAAAAATGCTTTTATGGCTTTCCGGAGCTCCAGAGGCTCCCTGGAGGCGCCGAAGGCCCTGGGGAGAGAAAGACAATTTTTCAGGCCTCGAAAAATGCTTTCGGGGGCTTTGGAGGCTCCCTGGAGGCGCCGAAGGCCCCGGTGAGAGAAAAACAATTTTTCAAGCCTCGAAAGATGTTTTTTCGGTTCCGGGGGGCTCCGGAGGCTCCCTGGAGGCGCCGAAAACCCGGGGAGAGAAAAACAATTTTTCGGGCCCCGAAAAATGTTTTTTCGGCTGCCGGGGGCTCCGGAGCTCGAGAAATTGATTTTCGGGTCCTGGGGGTTTGGAAGTCCGCCGAGATTCAGACATCCGCCGCTTCCGCCGCCCGTCTGGCCCGAGCTTCCCTCGAGAGCCCGGCTTCCAGCGCGCTGCTTCTGGGGGCGCCCGACCGATGCCCAGGATGTCCCCCGCGCTCTTGCTCGCGATCCTCGCGGCCGCGCCCCCGGGCGCCAGCGCTTGCTACACCGCCCGCGCCGCCAGCGTGGACGCCGCCGGCGAGTCGCCCGGAGGCTCCCTGGGGCCACGAAACTTGCGAGGGGTTCGCCGAAGTTCCTTGCGGGAGCGCGCGCGGGCTGCGCCGCTGGGAATTTTAGCGGAGCTCTGATGGGGCCATGAAGCGTGTGAGGGGTGCGCCGTCGCGGGGAGCGAGAGCGCATGCTGGCTGCGCCACTGTGACCCTGCAGTACGGTTTTCGCGTTCGGTCGGTTTCGGTCGGCTGATTCGGTTCTGGAGGCCCCCTTTCGGTTTCGATCGGTTTCGGTTTCGTCATCGGTTCGGTCGGCTCTCGGTTTCTCGGCAACTCGTGGCCGCCCATGCTCATTCTCGGGGGCTGATCAACGAGCTATCGGCGATGTATCTGTCATCGGCTCCAGGCCGTTGTTCCCGCACCCTCACGAGTCAGCCCCCCCTCTTCGCCCCCCTCTCACCAGAGGGCTGGGCTGGGGGACTGCGAGCAGATCTGGCGCGCTGGAAGGCCTCTGAGATCCTGCGCGAGGGCTGTGGGGAGCGAAGGCCGGTTCGATTCCGAGCCGAAAGCCGACCGCGGCCCAGACGTCTGAAATTCCACCCTTCGCGCGGCGGGCCGTGCATGAAGCGTGACGCCAGCCCGCGATTTGCCCAGTAGCCGTTGCGATCCGGGCGGCGTGGCGGGGTCGGGTCACACGACCTCGGGTCGCGGTCGGCCGCGCGGTCGGCGAGACACGGAGAGCATCGAGAATGTGGACTCGTGCCTGAGCTGGGAGAGTCCATCTTGGGAATCGACAGCCCTCCAGAACATAGATCCTGGCCATGTGTTTTGTGGGCGTGGGTGCGTGTGCGCTTGCGTGTGTGACTTTCTCCGCTTCGACGCTGCGCGCGAGGCCGCGACCGCCAAATGTGTTTATCTATCTCTATCTATATATATACATATGTATATGTACACGTTTGCTTTTGCGTGCGTGTGTGTGTGTGAGTGTGTGTGCGTGTGCGTGTGTTAATGCTGAGTGCTTGCGCTGCTCGCTAGCACTATTCAGTGGGACTGTGCGTTAGCAGCGTGTTGGCACATCACCTTTGCAGCATCGTGTGTTGAGTGGAAATCGGTGTGGGCATTGCGTGCCAGCGCGGCTTGGTTGCGCAACAGGCTGGCACCATCTGAGTTCTGGGTGCTGGTACAGTGTGCTCGCAGTGCGTTCGCGGTTTGGCTCTACTTCGAGGTAAGGGTGTCGCGACCCAGGATGTATGGACAAACCTAGGAAGTCCCTTGACGGGGCGAGTTTTAAATTCATGTTGAGATAGCCCAAGGTGTGCTAAGGTTTTGTGTTTGGCCTTTTCAGGTCCCGGAGCTGCTTTACTGGATATGCGCCCTCGCCCTCTTAAAACCCATAGTCGTCAGGGCCATCGATTCCCACATCCGAACAATGTCGTTTGATTTGGAGTCTCTGAGCACTCCGGGCAACAAGAAGGACCTGGGCAGCTGTAAGGCGGAGCTGTTGAGACACTGCATCCTTATGATGCGCCTCCAGCGCCCTTATCTGGTTTATTGCTTGCTCTGTGCAGGGTGCGCCACGTTTGCGTTCATGTCCACCCTCTTCGGCATGGTCAGCTCCGCTGGGAAGATCCTACCTGGACAAGCGCACTCCATCTTGGATGGCGGGTGCTGGCAGACACTCTGCTGGATCATCGTGGGCTGGGCCCTGGTGATCGAAGTGTTTACCTCGGCAATTGTCAATGGGCTCCGCCGCTCACTTAGAGATTTCTGGTTTGTGTTCGACGCCGCAGTTCTCCTGGTCACTGTGCTGGCGTGGATGCTGGCCCACTCGGGCGGGCCCACGGCACCAACTGCGCGAGAGGTCGGCGAGATAGAGGGCGCAGACCTCGCGCTCCTTGCCCTCCGCTTTGCGCTGCAGCTGGGCCGCGTCCTCGCCGCGTGGCTGATGGCCCACAAGGTGACGCAGATGCAGAGCGGCTTCCTCGACGTTCCAGACGTGCAGCTGCACGTGTGATGTCGAAGGGCGCCGAAGTTTACTCTGCGTCTTCGGGGGACTTCTCTTTTTCCTGTGAATGGCAGTCTTTTCGTGTTCTCCGACGTGGGTTCGACGCGGATTCGACGTGAATTCGACGTGGATTCAACACGGATTCGACGCGCTCGACATGGATGCGACCCGAATGGTTGGTGCGATGGGGCAGACGAGGCCCCCCAAAGCTGCAACGTAACGAGGTCGGTTGGCGGCGATGGCCGTCATTCTTTTCCGTCGGCCAGGTGGGCAGCGGGCACCTGACACGCACAATCGCCCAGTTGCCAGAAAAGGCCAAGAGCAGGGAAGCAGGGGCGGGCGCGGATAGGCCAGTGGAGGTTCGGGGTCTGCGAGCTTCGTTAAGTCTGTTCCTACCCGGAAATCGTATGTACTTCGTGCTCGTGTCGTGCGTTACGCGCGTGCGAAGCTCTGCGCGAAATCCCCAAGTCGCGGGGTGGATGGCGGGCGTCACCGCGGAAAGACACCCTGCTGCTGCGGCGGAGGGGCGCACGTCTGGTATCGCGGGGGGTCGTGAGGTGTCGTGTTGCGTCCCGGTGCCGTGGTGTTTGGTGCCGTGGCGCATCGGCGTCGCTGTGTCGTGGTGTGGTGGTGCCGTGGTGTCGTAGGTTGTCGTCGTGGGGCGTCGTGGGCTGTCGCGTGGGGTCGTGTTGTCGTGGCTCCCGTTGGAGGGCGTGTGAAGCCGAGGCGCTTCCCTACGGTAGGTTCGTGTCGTGTCGACCGGCGGCGACCCCAGCGCGGGCGTTCAAGGTTGAACGCCGCCGGCGACCCAGAATCGATCGATGTTGAACGATTGGACGTTGCGGAGACGGCCGATCGTTCAAGGTTGAACGGTCCCTGCGGTGTCAAAAACCAACGCTGGGGTCGGCACGACACGAACCTGCCGTAGCCTCCCTATCGGCTGCTGGCAATTTGCCAGGTGCGTGCCCTTCCCCAGCAAGAGGCCCGCTCCTCTGCACCTCTGCTCCCGAAGGCAGACCTGCCAGACTTTCAGTGAACCTTGCCTCTGGCTTTCGGCCGCACCGCCAACATAACATACAGCGCCAGGAATCAGAACAGACCCTCCCAGCAGGTGGCCTTCCCCGCAAGTCTCTCTCGGGTGGTGGGCCCGAGTGCACCCGACGACCTGCGTGTTCACCCGGAGATGAGCCTCGAGGGCGCGTGGCGTGCCAAGGGGAGGTCAGGGGGGTTAGTTCAAGCAATGGCGAAGCGTCCTGGCGTGCCTTTAGCCCAACCCAACAATGTTCTGAGAACCTCGTGTGGTCTGCGCGAAATGCTCTTGGAGCATGTCTGGCTGAGACTGTCTTGTTTTAACACGTCAGGAGTATGTTCTAAAAAATGTGTTTTTCTTAGAACATGTATGGGTTCTAAGAACACTTCGTGGTAGGCCTGCTGGGACGGTCGGTCCCTGCTCAATGAGCGCGGAGGGGGGAGGCCCAGACATCAATGTAACAATCAAGACGACGGTTTGTCCGTTTTCGGCCACCGGGGGCCCTCGCCAGGTCCCAGAGCCCTTCACGAGACAACTCAGGATGAGACGCCAGCCCTGGGGAGAGTGCCTTCGGGGACCTCGTATAGCGAGAGGGCAACGCTTCGGATGCCTTTGGGGGGAGGGCAAGGCTGTCTGCGGCTTGATGCTGCGTGCTGATGTGCGCTGCGTCGTCGATCGGCGTCCCTGCGCATACCCGGAGGGGGTGGGGCGACACCACACCGGGGCTCGGCTTAAGTCGGGCCTGTCCCTCTACAGGGGACTATTCAAAAATAGGAAGAAATAGTCGGGGGACTATTGTTCTACTCTTGTTGAGCATCTTTTAAATATGTTTCGGGTACTTTTTTATTTTTCGTCCAAAATCCCCCTGTCGGGGGACAGGCCCGACTTACGGCTCGGCCCAGTCGGCTCGATCCACTCGAGCGGGTCGGTCGATCAAGGGTGGGGGGCAGCCTCTGGACAGCCACAGCTCGGAGGGGAGAGTGGAGGAGATCCAGGCCTCCCGAGCGGAGTCCTGGCATTAGGCCGGGCGTATCCTCCCACAGGCGGAATTTGGACGAAAATAGGATAGTCAAACATATGTGCAAAACATGCCCCAAACATACTCCCACCAAAAATCGTCTTCAGACTATTTTTTGACTACTCTGGAATCTTCCTCCTTTAGCGGCACACGCCCGACTTCATCCTAGCAGATGCGTGCGAGGAACCGCGCCGCATCGGGGATGCATCGGCGGTGCGGCCCGATGTGGAGCCCGACTCCCGCCCGCTCCGACGGTGCCGACGCGTCGCCGGTGCGTCGTCGGCGCGGCGCGGTCCTCCGACCCCACCGGAGTGGCGAGGGGCAAGCTGCAGCTCTCGGGGATCTGGGCACGCACGGCGCGGCTGGCCTGGGCGAGAGCCGGGTGCGCACGTGTACGCTGGCCCTCCGCACGTGCACCGAGAGTCCTCGGGGCGTGCCATCTGTGAATCCGGCCGGTTGTGCGGCCGGCTTCCCTGCAGCGACGTCCTCGGAGGTTTCCGGCGCCCCCCGCGTCCAGAGTCCGCCCTCCTCGAACGCCGATCGCCGCCGGCAAACTTCAGCAGCGGCAAGGCGACAGTCTCATGCGCGGCCAAGTCCAGGGGCGGGGCCTGCGGCCTGTGGCGACGAGGACGAGGACGAGGACGACGGCAAGGACGACGACGACGACGACGACGACGACGACGACGACGACGACGACGACGACGACGGGGACGGGGACGAGGACGGCGACGCCGCCGACGGCGACGACGCCGACGACGAAGACGACGACGGTGAGGTCGACGACGGCGGCGGCGGCGACGACGACGCAGCCGCTCAGGCTTTGCCGCCCTGGCGGCCCGGCAGTGGCCTCCCCTCCGCCCTCGGCGGGGCCCCCTGCCGATGCACTCCGCCAACTGAAACCCGCGGCCCCATGGGGCGCGCCGCCCTGCTGGTGCCCCTCCTCCACGCCGGGGGATCCGCTCACGGTCAAGACGCTGAAGTGCAGTGGGGGGCCACGCCAAGAGACACCCTGCTCGCCTCCAGGGTGCCCCGGGTGTCTTGGGCTGCGACGGCTCTGCGATGAAGAGCGTGGCGCGCCCATACCAAGAATCCATGAACGTCCTGGGATCTCGGGGTTGGGTTTCCTGTGGGAGGTTTCCTGTGGACTGGCCTCCACTGCAAGGGCCACTGAGGAGGAGGAGGAGGAGGAGGAGGAGGAAAGAAGAAGAATAAGAAGAAGAAGAAGAAAGAAGAGGTGGAGGAGGAAGAAGAGGAGGAGGAGGAAGAAGAGGAGGAGGAGGAAGAGGGGGAGCAGTTTCTGTGGCCGAGGCTCGCCGTGGACAGAAGAGCCCCCCTCGGTTCCTCATCTGCCGCCGTCCCTCTGGCAGCACGCCGGCTTCCTAGCCCTTGGACTCGTACGTACCTTTTGATGCGTGTGCGAGTGCGTTGCCCCCTCTTGTTCCTCCTCCTCGTCCTCGTCCTCCTCTTCGGTGATTGCGAGCTCCCCATCTCCTCTCCTCCCGAGGAAAACAGCGAAAGTTGTACAATCCCAGGCGTCCAGCTGAGGAGGAGGAGGAGGAGGAGGAGGAGGAGGAGGAGGAGGAGGGGAAGAAGGAGAAGGACGAGGAGGAGGAGGAGAAGGAGGAGGAGGAGGAGGAAAAGAGCAGGAGGAGCAGGCGGAGGAGGATGAGTTGGAGGGGGAGTGAGAGGAGGATGATGAGTAGGAGGACGAGGAGGAGGATGAAGAGGAGGAAGAGGAGGAAGATGAGGAGGAGGAGGAAGAAGAGGAGGAGGGAGGAAAGAGGAGGAGGAGGAGGAGAAGGAAGAGGAGGAGGAGGAGGAGGAGGAGGAGGAGGAGGAGGAGGAAG